AGTACCTTTCTTTTCTCTTCTGCTCTTCTGGGAATTAGCTGGTTATTTCACTTGGCATTAGATCTTTCTGCCTTCTGTATGTGTTTTTTTGTATTCAGAAAGGCAAGTAAAGGACTGAAGAATTGTGAAACTTGAGAACTGTCAGGAAGCAGCTGGCATGGAAGGCTGCCGTCTGTAGTGTGTGTCACAACCTTACTCTTTCCATGTGCTTTTCTGTCTCTCTTTTTCTTTGTTACATTTTTACAGTTCTGCTTTAAGTCAGGCTTGGAGGTCAGCAGCTTATATATTGTGTGTGTCATCAGCTTTGCTGTTTGCATTCATATTACTGGGACAAGTTTTGCTGTGTATATTGAAGAGAATGATATTAAAAATAGGCTCGGTGGAGAGCACACTTGAGTCTTCAGAGTTTTGATAACAAATAGAAAGCGCTTCTACTCTGTTTTTAAGTTCCAAGATAAATTGTAAACACTGGAAATAAGAATATGTTTATTCCTATTTGAAAATGAACAAATTCAAAGTATTAGCTTCACAAAAAATGAGAAAAAGTGAAATTGCCTAGTAAATGAACTGGAAGCACTTAACAGTCTCAGACAAGACACATCTCAATTTCCATAAACCTTTACTTAGAAAATAGGTTGGATTCAGAGTGCTGGTGTACAGTGTTTGCTCAGCTGAATTTAATTGCAAACTTCATTTAGATGTCAGTGGAGAAGAAATGAAAACTGAGCAGCAGTTGGGCACTGTTCTCTTTTTCTGTGGGAGCTATAGTCTCAAGCCAGAAGAAAAGCCATCTTTCTTGTTTTTAGTTTTTCCACTTTCTTTTGAAAGATATTCCTAGACTAGGTATTTTCTTTTTTTTCTTAATTATACAGTGTAAAGTATTATTTACAAGCTATAAATGATAAACTGTTGACATTTAATGCTGACATTTTTATTATTTTGCACAGATGAAAGAAAAAAGGAAACAATCAAATGACGCTTCAGGTATGGCTCCAGTAGAAGAAGAGTCTTTTACAGATTTGACGAAAAATGACCTATTGTCATTGAAAGCTAACAGGACAAAGATAAGATATGCCAATACATACAGACTGGAGCCATATAATAAATTTCAGGATTATGTAGTAAGAAAGAAAGCTCAAGAGATACTAACGGTATAGTATGATTTTAATGGACTAACTGCTTAATTGCAAAGTAATTTCTGTCTTGTAAAGGCTATATCATAACATTGGGTGCTAAAATTTAAAAGAGCATAAATCTTTACTACATACATACAACATAAATCTTTTTACTACACAAATGCTATTAAAATTGGCTCTGTGCAAAGTAGTCACTGAGCATATGCCTTTCAGATGGGGTTGATGCTGCTTAAACTTTTGCCTATTTCAAAATAGAGTACAGGACAATCCAAAATATCCTGATCTGCACAGTATCCTGCTCTCCAAAGATTCTGATCTTGAATTTGTGCCACTTCACTCCTTCAATGAATTATTGCTAATACCACATGACACGCATGATACACGTTTGATGTCCTTGACAGTCTGGCTCTTTCATACAAAAGTCAAGCAGAGATGAATGAAATTGAAGCAATTATAGCAGGGCCTTGAAAAGACAACCTGCAATTCCACAGTCCAGAAGACTGTATTGCTGTATAAGTTTCTAGCAAAATACCTCCAGGGTGAAAATTAAGATTTTTCAAATTTATTTTTTATAGAATAAACTTCAAGAAACCAAATATGATGGAGTTTCAAGTCCCTCCCTGTGTGCTTCAATCTCTGAAGAAATACTAACAGCTATGAAGGAATTGGGTTATGACCGTTACAAGTACGTCGTGTCCGTTCTAATTGTGGAAAAGGCAGGTCAGGCAATAAATGTGAGCAAACAAATTATTCATAATATCTTTTGCAAACTGAAAACAATTTTTGAACAGTATTTTCTCTTAGGTATGCATTCACATTCAGTCCACATCCAGTGATTAATTAGGTGGAAGCCTTGATCTTGGAGCCTTTAGGTTGTTTATGGGGAGAAGTCTTCTGCATGACAGTTGAAGGGGCTTCCCAGCCTTGTGGAGGTTGTGGGTTTTGAGCTAAGCAGCTCTACTATCTTCTCAACCCGTTTTTTTTTTTTTTTTTTTTTTTTTTTTTTTCAGCTGGGAACTTTGCCAGTGTAATTGTCTGACTACAATGTTTCTTCTTTTTTTTTTTTTTTTTCTTCCAGTGGACTTTTATCTGTAGTCAGTTCAGGGCATGGCAGTGCAAAACGTTACAGGGGTGACATGGTAAGGAAATGAGTGGCAAGGAAAGGGATGGGAACACTGTTTCCACTATAGCTGCCACTAAAACACTTTTGCAGCTACAACCTAACTATTCTGAACATGGGACATCCAAAACAAAAGTGATTCTCTTGCACTGTGTCTAAATTTACATGTATAGTAAGCTCCCTTTGGCATTCAGCATACCTTCTGGTATCTTGCTGGGCATTAGAGACCAATTCTAGTTTGGAGTGTTCGTTTGTCATCGGCTCTTAAAACCTCATCTCCCACTGAAGTGGAATCACACCTTGTTATTAATGACCAATGTATAGGGGAGCTGGAAACATTTGTGGTTTTGGGGTTTAGTTGAATAGTAGTAGTTTTCATTGCAACTTTAGTGATAGAGGGTGTGCATGCAGTTATATCCAGATCACTCGAGGCATGTTAAGGTGAAGGCCGATAGAAGTGTTTGCCAAATACAAATACTGTGTGGAAAGATTTATGAAGGCACCTACCGAAAAGAAATGAAATAACTATCTTACTGCTCAGCAGGATTTTTAATTGTCCTTTCTCACACCACCCTCTGCCCAGATGGCTCTGTTAGGGCATCAGCAAATGAACTGATTTGCCTAGAAAATAAATAGGGACTTTTAATGAGGATTTCTAATTCTAACTAAGGCATAGACAATCTACCACTCCATAAAATGCCCATCTATCAAATACCTGACATTAATATTGTTGCTTTTTACTTAAGTAGGGGTTGTAAAGATAAACAGTAGTTTAGTATGGAGTGATCCCTCAAACCTGCACTTGAAAATGCAGTTTGAATGGATGCTGTTTTTGGTAATGAAAGGGGTGTGTGAGGTGGCTACAACTGCCTGCTCTCAGTGGTCAGCTCACTTAACTTTTGAATCCAGTTTAACCCAAGCAATGGGAAGGCTAGTGAATGATTGCAAATAGCCAGCAGTGAGCTGCTGGAGGCAGGATGTGACTTCTTAGGCTTGTTGTCAAAATTGATATCTAATCAAATTATTTTGAAGGGGTACTGCACATTTTAGAGTGCTAACAAGTGAGCCTGAGAATTGAGGTTTTGGTGCAGAGACTTTGGGATTCAACAGGATTGGGGGGGAGGCTTCAGTGTCAAGCAAAAATGCATTATAATGTGAAATAGCACTTATTCTCTCTGAATTTTTGCAGTTGTTTTTTACTACTTGTAACTCATATAATGCATCTGTAAAATGTTATATGTTCTTTTAAAAATGTAAATTTGTGCTATGTAGGTTTACAAATAGCTTGTTCTCTTGTTCCCTTTAGGTTGCCAGCAGATGGGTCTGGGATGTTCAGAGAGACACCTGGGTTTCAGCTAAATGTGAAACTGAAACCTTTATTGCACTGGCTTTGATAATGGCTTGTTATTATGAGTAATATTCTAAAAGTCATTCCTATTTTTGAGCACCACAGTACTTGGTATATTTGAAAATATTCAAAACATCATTATTTTACCATTGAACACTGCTAGTACATTGAAGTTGACATGTTTCAGCTAATTTTACCTATTCTTTAAGAAACAGAACTTGTGAAATATCTTAGCTAAATACATATGGGCTTCATCTCCTGTAACTATCTTGTTTTGGACATTAAAGCAAGTGTTGTAAATATAAACTTGCAAAATATTCAATATTACTTTCTAGTGCATGCCTGGATTGCTAGGAAGTATATTTACAATAAACTGAGAGTATCATTTTTGTTTAAAAGTTTGTGCTTTGTTGGCTTTGTAAGAGAAAGCAGTATTTGATTTGGTTTTATTCTTGTAGTGATGATGGAATATCACAGCTTAAGAATGTGTAGACACACAGTAAAATGGGAAGCCATCCCTGCCAGCTATCTTCAACATCTTTTAAGCATTCTGTAACATTTTAATAGAATCTTACAGAATATTTTTTCCCTACCTGTTATTTCTTAATAGCTAGTCACACTTGGGGGTTTTTGCATAAACATTAATCTGAACAGAATGGGAGCTTAATCATCAGCTTCTTTGTGCCCAAAACTTGCATTAAATGTCAACTCATTGTTCAGGCTGCTGGCAGAAAAATCTACAAGTTTGAAAAATCTACAGAAAAATCTACAAGTTTGATCCATTCACTAGCCTGGCTTCTAATGGCATGGGCGGAGAGATCTAAATATGGTGGGTAACAAGACAATGGAAAATTGGTGCACAACCAGCAAGCACAGCAGTGATCATATTTTGAAAAGCTGCTGTGACACACCCGCATGGTACTCAGACTTTGGGTGTTAGAACTGGAAATGGAGTATCGATGCCACTTTCCAATTGCATTGTGATAGAGGTGGAAGAGAAATAAATATAGGAATACAGTAAGTCCTTGCTATTTGTAAATGCTTGGTGGGCTGATTGCATTGGATTGCATTTTACCATTTTATGGAGGCAAAAGGCATAGGATTCTCCACAGAACCTGCATGGGAGTTGCAGAAAGCAGCTTGCAGGCAACAAAGGTGGTTTGTGGCACGTCTGCCACTCAGCTCAGGGACATCCTGCCAGTTTTGCAGTTTCTTGGTGTGTCTGTGTGTGTGTCCATTTGGGTGTGTGGGTGTGTGTGTGTGGAGAGGGGTGGTGTGTGTCGGGGTGTGATGTATATGGGGGGTGGTGTGTGGGTGTAAGGGGATGAAGGATGTAGGAGGTGATGTGTGTGTAGGGGGTGATGGGTGCAGGGGGTGGTGTGTGTGTGTGTGTGTG